TTTCCTCGTTATTCTCCTTTCTTTTTCTTATTTGTTTTCTTCGTTGTTTTTACCCTCTTTTCTTTTTTTCTTTTGAGAGACCATTAGAACAAGATTCTTCGATATCATGCTCCGTTACTTAATAGAAAATCGTCGAATAAAATAAATCGAAAAATTCGATAAACGTGAAACTATCGAAAAGATCATAACTCGAAATTACACCAGTATATATATATATATACACATCTTTTCGACCTCAACGAAAGAAAAGGCTTATGGAAAATCTTTTCTTTATTCCTACCTCAATCCCCGGGTATTTTTTTTTTTTCCCCCTTACCATTTCTATTCTTCAATATCATATCGTCAAAATAAAAGAATTTTCTGATAGTTTAATTAATCCTTGAAAATCTTCGATTTTTCTCTCATTTTCTATCTTCTAACTTTAGACGAGGAAATTCAATGAATGCGAAAGTTCGATCGTCGATAAAATCCCACTTTTCTTTTCTCCTCAAAAAAAAAAAAAGCAGCAGAGCTTTTTTAGAGAGAGAGAGAGAGAGAGAGAGAGAGAGAACGAAAGGGGTCAAGGACTCCAATGAAATGAAGCATTTAAAAGGAATTTCAGTGAAAATCAACGACTTGCAATTATTTCTTCGATCGAAGCGACACGTGCCGTACCAACGGCTTAATAGTATTATCCGACATTGACAAACGATTTCGTTCGAGACGGAGGGAGGAGCAGCTCGAAATTAATAGCCGTTAAACTCGCGACGATCGTTCACCAAACCTATTCTTCTTCTTTTACATCAAACGTTTGTTTTCACGAATATATATATATATATGTGTGTGTGTGTACGTGTACGTGTATTTGTATGTATATATTCTCGACATTTCTTCTTATTATTTGTCCTATCTATTATAATAATTTCTAAAGGAATTCGACGTTCTCGTCATTATCTTCGTTTATAGTGTTACGAACGAAACATACGAAGTATTATATTATTTTACAAAATGCATTATTCTTCTTTTTATAAAAAAAAAAAAAAAAAAAAAAAAAAAAAAAAAAAAAAAAAAAAATAGATTTATTATCTTCGATATGGTAACAACACGATTATATTCTATCATTTATACTTTTATTTTTCATTAATATCGATATAGAAAAGTTTTATTGAAACTTTAACAATATCACGGTATTTCGTAAAGATTGTTTCGGTCGTATGAAAGAGGATAAACGAGGAAAAATCAAGAGTAAGAGAGAGACAGAAAGAGAGAGAGAAAAAGAGAGAGTGAGAGGGAGTTACAAATATGATATAAAGGGATGATTGGGATGAAAGACAAATACAAAAGAGTAACGATCGATAAATTGTATACTTCGATCCTTCGTTCGTTCTTCAAACTAATGAGAAGTTTCCTGACTCGATATTTCCTCTGTTTCTATCGAGATAAAGACGATATATATATATATATATATATATATATATATATATATATATATGCGTCTTTCTTCTTTCTATGACAAAGTTTTCATGCTATAGAACGCAAAAGAAAAAGATCTACTTCAATGAATAGCTCGATACTAATTGGCTTTAAAGATGGGAATAAAGTTTCATTTTATTTGTATTATCTTTTATTTTCTATTTATTTATTTTATTTTTTTATTTATTTTTTTATTCTTTTTTTTTTTTTTAATCCTTATGACGAAGAGGAAGAGAGAAAGAGATAGTTAAATAGATAGATAGATAGACATATAGATGGAGTTTGAAAAAGAAAAAGAAGGAGAATGGGGGAAGACTAATCATAACGAGACGTGTACGATAATAAAATCTGTAATGACATTTTTATTTTGCCACGTGGACATAGAGCTCTCTCTTTACGATATCGTTAAAATGCACCTATGTACGTTGTTCAATTTCGTAGCACGTAACAATTCCGGAAATAAATTTTCTCGAATAAGGGAATTGATTCGAACTGCTACTCGGTAAAATCGTTGATGGTTTTGAGATGTTCGAAAAACGTCAGGTTCTACGTCGCGTGACGAACGCGATTTGTCACTCAATTTCGTTGACGTCTCGTCCTGTACGTCGGATGTTGTCGCGGAAAAATGGCGCGGATTTTTCAATTGGACACATTTTTAACACGTCAACAATGGATTGTCCTGTTTCAAAGGTCGATCGAAAAAACAAAAAGGGAAGAAAAAAGAAAAATAGAAAAGAATAGGAAAGACAGAGAAAAAGAGAGAGAGAGAGAGAGGAGAGGGGGGGAGTGTTAAAAAGGAACAAATAGAGTAAGAAAGAAAAAAAAGAAGAAAAAGAAAAGATAAGCGAGAGAAAGATAAAAAAAAAAGGTAATTCGCAGGAACGAAATTATATATACATATATATGAAAAAAAAAAAAAAAAAAAAAAAAAAAGAAAGAAAAGAAAATAGTTCTATGCGAGTGCAATCAAATCGTCATTTCAAATGATGGATTTTAACATTTTCATCGTACGAAACAATTTAATCGTTTCAATCGTTGATCAGATCAA